TCTCCAGCAGATTCGTGACTAAACTGGATAAGAATCTCTGACCATATGAATAGAAAGAAACCGAAATCCAAAACAATCGCAAAAGACAATCACGATTGACACAATTCAAAAAATCAACACCAGAATCAAGAGAAATTGAAATCGCAAAAAATCTTCAAGTAATTTTTTGCCGTAAACATAGAAGTTATCGATCCATCCAGAATTACAATACCAGTGACTGCATAAACTTGTGGTCGCTTCGGATGCAACTGCCATCGGAACGAACGAACAGAACGTAGGCGATCGTTGTACACGGTCCGTCAAAATTAGGTAAACGATAACTGAAGCGCTGCAAAGAAATTCGAGGAGATCAAATAGGGGGGGAAAAGGAGCAGAAAATGATAAGATTCTGAAATCGAACGAAATTTACCTAGAAATTCGTCGACGTGGATCGATAACGTTTGGAGAACAAAGAGCAACCGACTTCGATTCAACGACTTCTCATCGAGTGAATGACTTTCACGAATGGAGACGATCCACCTCACCCTCCATTTACCTAAATGAAAAGAATGTTCGATTTAATGATTGAGCATATATATACTTATCCTTTATCCAGCTTTGTTCGGAAATGGAAACCGACAAATACATACATACATATATATACATATATATATATAAATTTATCCTTTATCCAGCTTCATTTGAGAATGGATGAAATAATTAAAAGGAAATTAAAATAGAAAATTCGTCATATTTGAGAGAATAAAAAAAATTGATTAAAGGTTCAAATTACTATTGTAAGTCATCTTAATGTGTTACAGAAAAATATTAACATTGATTAAAAAACAATAACTGTTAATATATATATAAAAAATAATAATCATAAACTAATTTTAACCTTAAAATAAATAATTTTCGTATTTTTATAGAAGCGGGTGCTAGACCTCTTTAACAATGGGCTGGGCCTAGACTTCATTTAAGCCCAACCACATCCGTTCAACCTTTACAACATTTAGAAAAAATTATTCATAAAATATTGAAAATTTACCACCATTTTTATTTTCTTGAACAACTCGATGAATTTTGTAGATTTTTTACATCAATTTTTACGGTGTGATGGTTCCGACTAGTTGTACCTACTATTTCTTTTTTAGGGCTAAGCTCCGAAAATGTATAGAGACTTTTAATTTCATTTGTATTGTGACAATAGACTCGATTTGTTTTAACTAGGTACTACACCTCGAATCTAAACTAAACTCGATAAAGAAACGGTGTCTCGAGAATAACTGCTTGCAGTATAATCCATTTTTTATCGAAAAGAGATGAGAAAGAAAGATACTAAATAGTTATTTATAGCTATTGAAAATGTTATATAAAGGGTAAAGCAGCCATATTTTTATAGAAAAGAATTACAAAGATAGAATAAAATATTCTGGATTTATAGGGACACATTGCAATATTATTTTAACCAGTGAGATAATGACGTGGCAAATAAAAGAACATCAATTTATTTCATATCTAGTGATTTAATTTAGTCAAGTTGTTAGTCCTAGGTTGTCTACTTTTATTAATTTGTTAATTAGTATCTTACATTTGAATACTTTGTTTTTTCTATTAAAAAAATATCCTTTGCAATATATATATATAAATAGTCCATGCTTTCTCTGTTGAATGATGAAAGTCCATTGGTACGATGATAGATTTATAATTAAAGAATATTCTCAATTGATACGAAGCTTTTTGGGAAAGTCCAAAGTAAAGCCACCAGAGCTTATGTTCAAAGTGGACAATATCGTACCATTGTAGAGAGTCGTGTTTATCTAATAAATGACTCCAAAAGAAAAGAACTACTCTCGTTTTAAAGTCTTTTCCTATTGACCACAGTTACTTTAAAATAGTATTATTATTTTAAGAAAAAATAAAAAAACGGTCGAAGTATCGAGGAATCACACGTGGAATATTCCACAATGGAACTTTGCCCATTTATTACGCCCAATCACATTATTTTCGCAAAATTATGTTATGTTATTTAAATTAATAATAATAATAATAATAAATAAATAAATAAAAACCAAACACGATGGATAATCGCCCCCTCAGTGTTGTGTGGGTCTATGCCGTCCTCTCTATCCATAGATTCCCGCTTAAGGTATTAATGAAATGTTAATGTAAAAACTAATATAATAAATACATTAATTAATCCAAATACCACAAATTTCTCTACTTTTTCGTTATTACGGTAAAAATTAATTTATTTTAATAGAAATTTAAATTTTATATATTTATGTTTCAAAATAACATAAAAATATGTAATTTTATTTTTTAATATATATAGCTAAATTCTAAAAATAAATTAAATTATTTAAAAAGCAAAACTTTTTCGTTCTTTTTTTTTTTTTTTTAAATAAAGATGATAATGATAGCGGTGGTAATAATAATAATAAAAAAAAAAATCATTATACAACATAAAAATATGCACAATTTTCAATTAAGGAAAATCTCGTCTATATTATTTTAATAAAATCATCATTTCATGGTTGTTTCGGAGATCACCGATGTTGAGTGGAGCACTCTTATCCCTCCCTCCCTCGTGAAGGAAAGTGCCTGCCCCTTCGCTAGCTGGAAATAACATTTTTACTCACTTTTCAAATTCTGAACCAAATATTTTATTTTATTTTCTTTTTAATTATTAGTTGGCAGATTCATATTAAATTAATAATAATAATAATAATATAGAGAGAGGAATTCCTTGAAACACTTTTAAAACCGTACTTTTAATTTATTTGCACAATCCTTTTACCCTTCGAAATTGATTTTGTTTTTACTTTTAAATTTGATATTTTAATATTTGGCAAAACTAAATATATATTATTTTAAATAAATTATCCTTTCAATAACGTTAATTATGTACCAGAAATGTACTCTGCATTCTGCTATCAGAAAAGGAATTAAAATGTGTTGAATAAAGTTGGAAGAATTATTAAAAAAAGGGAGCAGTTGGTGACCGGCGGATCCGGGGGAGTGGAGTTGGAGGAAGGGATTGTCGAGTTGACACGTAGGATTTTCTTTATTTAGAAACCTTAAAATGTCCAAATAGAAACCGGCTGTTTCCATTATTCTTCTTTCCCCATCCGCACAAACAACAATTAGAAAGTGGGGTGGGGACGTGGCCCACGTGACGTGACTGTCTTCATGCTCAGTCCCAATTTAAATAATTATATATAAATATTTATTTTCCGAGATTTAAATAATATGTAAAAACAACAAATAAATAATATGGAATAATTATATGCCTTGGCGGTGTCCGCACCTACCAGAGTAAACATGATAATGTCTTGGACTCTTTGCTTAAAAAAAATAAACCCTAAATATATATATATAATCCAATTCATCGAAAAAAAACAATCTAAAACTTGAGATATTTGACGGGTACCCTTATATCTTCTGTACCGCACATGAGCATATGCTTAGGACGTGGGGGTGGTAGTCGGAGGTCGAGAGCAGTTGACGGCGGCGGAACTTGCACAGTAAGATAGTTTCGGGTGCCTTTAGGCATGCGACATGAGCTTCGTTGAGAATAGAATGAAATGTTGCGATGTTTCCTTCTAACTTGGGCTGGCTTGAGGATGGTTGATGGCTGATACGATGATGAAACTTGTAAGGTTGAGTGCAGCCGGGTGCCTTCAAGCGTGATGAATATATATATATATATATATATATTATCTAGTTTTAAATTTATAAATATGATTATTCGAGTAATATTCTATTTAAGTTGTTTATTTATAATCATTTTTTAATATATTTATAATCATTTTTCAATTTACCCTTACGATCAAAAGCATCCTCGTACTAGCTTTAGAATTGAATATTCTTAAAAAAATATATATAATTCTTCAATTAATTTTTAAAATTTTCAAGTCTATTATTCCATATTGCATGTTTATTAAATAATTTAAATTATTCGAAGTCATTTGCCATTTATAATTAATATTAAATATCATTATAAAAATAACTAAATCACGTTTAAATTTGCTTTTCCATATTTAAAATTGAAATTGATTAAATATTAACTACCAATAATTATTTAAAAAGCTAAAGCAATAGCAATGGAGCATAAATAACCGACATTGTTACTAATTCTTATTATTTCTTTTAAATTACATAATTTTTTTTTCATTTCCTTTATTTACTCCAATTATTATTATTATTTCAATTTCTGAAAATTTTCAAAAGTGTTTTTTAAATTAAAAATAATATGCAAAATAAAATAAAAAAACATAAATTAATGGTTCTTACAATTTAAAAAACATGGAATAAATTTATGAAGAATTTAAAATTTTTAAAAATCAATTACTCTAATAAATATAAACTTTAGTTTTTATCTAATAAAACTCTAAATTTCAATCCTACCCCTAATTAATTTTTAAATTTAAAATTAGAACACAAATTTAAAGGAAATAATTTTGTAATTTAATTATATATATATATATATCTTTGCTTTTCCAAAAGAGGGTGCATAAAATATAGAATAGGGGGGGAAAAGACAAAAGTGGGAGCGAGAAATAAAAGTAAAATGTAAATATTTGGACTTTGCCTGAAATGACCTTATATTCTGTGCCCCATTTTCTTTCATACTGTCCCATAAAAGTATACAATTATTTCATGGGTACAATAGTAAATACAAAAAACTTAGGAGGGCAATTTCGACAAAAGGCTGCATCCTTCTAAATTTGTAATTACACAAACAAAATATATTTCGCACGTAGCAAATTTCCAAAAGAAGAAAATAGCAGTCTCCGTAGTCCGTATCCCATAGCCATAGCCCCACGCGTCGATGATCGATATAACAGACAGCTCGCACCACGATGAATAAAATAGGTTAATAAAGTCGTGATCTGATTGGGCCACGTGTCCCTCATCAGTATGTACCCGCACTGGTTTTTCCCGCACTGGAAAAAACCCAGAGCTATAACACATGGAACGCGGACCCCTTCCATATTTGGCTCTGTGCGGCTGAATTATGTGAACCCGCTTCAGTACAACGCTCCGTAAAAAAGCGTTGATTCTGTTGGATTTGATCTCTTTGCCTCGCCTCCAAACAGCACCGCACTCAACCGCAAAAGAGTAAGTTACGAACGATTTCCTGGATAATTCCTGCACATTTTCTCTTCCGTTTTTCGCTGCAGATTGCATCGTTTTCGTTTTCGTTTTCGTCGTTTTTCATCTGCTTTCGGAGTGTTTTTTTTTTTTAATTATTATTTAGTTTTTGATCGCTCGCAGTAGGAACGCATCTCTCTTCTCTATGTGTAATTATTCTGTGCGTTATCGAGGAAGAATGAAGTGTTTTAGAGAACTGTCGTTTTCTTTTCTATGATTTGGTTGTGATTTTTCTTATATCTTTGTTACTTGTGAAATTTACTTGAGTTTCGTTATTCTCTGAAAAAAATTCCGGAAAAATGTATAGAAGAATCGAGTTTCGGATCTAAGAATGGGGAGAGGCAAGATTGTAATTAGGAGGATCGATAATTCGACGAGCAGACAGGTGACTTTCTCGAAGCGAAGGAGTGGACTGCTGAAGAAGGCGAAAGAACTGGCGATCCTTTGTGACGCCGATGTTGGAGTCATCATCTTCTCCAGCACCAGCAAGCTTTATGAATACTCCAGCACCAGGTTCTATGATATTCACCTTCTGTTTCTTTACTGTTTGCCTTTATTTTCTTCTACTTTTTTTCAGTCTGAATAATTTCTCCGTTTTCGAACTTTATTATAATAGATTAATATCTAGTGCGACAACACATTGGTAGCCTCGCTCAATTAATTTACCTGGTTTTTATTCATTATATTGGCGAGCGTGCACCTTGAATCACGATTATGACTGTATGCTTTATAGTAAAATAAAATGTTGTGCATACTGAGAAATAGGAATTCTAGAGCCTATAGTGTTCAGGTTTTTTGACGTCTTGTTCTTTCTTGTGATTTTATGAGGCTCAGTTCTGTTATTTGCCTGAGCTCTCTATCGTTCAAACTTCGCTAGCTTCTCCTTTCAACTACTCCGCTCATAAACTCTATTGGCATATATCAAGTACCTTTAGAGTCATTGGTTGCCAGATACTCCAATAGTTTATGCCTATAGGATGGACTGCTATAATGCGAATTTGTGGGTTAGTTTCGTAGGATGAGAGTTCTGGATAAGCTAACCAAAGAGAAGTTAGCAGTCCAAAAATTACATTCGAACTTATACTTCAGTACTGTTCAAAGATCCAAGTGAACATGTTGTAAAGGACGAATATGGTTAAGAGATTTTCGGAGTTGCGATTCTCCTTGCAGCATAATAATCATAGAGCTCGTTTAGAATTGGAAAGGGAGGGTGAGAATCCTCAGTTCACTTTTATCGGAGATTCAAATGACTTATTCATGCGAGAAATTACGTACTATCTCATGATTGCAAATCTCTCGATGGATGGATATGAAGGTCGTGCACGATACTGGAATCAAATCGTTTCGCACCATACAATTATCAATTTATCCTTGTAATGGATGCCAACCAAGAGAAATAGCGCTGATTGGAAAAGTGGATCTCTGTGCTATTTTTAGTTGTCGGAATCTGAACAGCCTAATTGATCAATCAATGTTGCTCAATGCATGCTTCTTGGATTGGATCGAATGATATGGGTTAACATTACATTACTTCATCCATAGCTGTTATGATTCGACTCAAAATTGTTTCTAACAGAATCCCTCTGGTTTAAGGAATGGACCAGATCTCATATTAGTTAGGAGTGTAGAATTAAAAGAAAGCATAGTTTTCCGACCTCACCATTCATAATTAGGGATGGTTAGACACTCATTGTTCTTCCACATTCTTAAACAACTGTTATATTCGAAAAGAACAAAGAAGCATGGTTTGAACAATAGATTTAGTCCCCAAGGGGCAATACTTTTACGAAATAGGGTTAAGTATGCACAGAAGTCGGTCGGGCAGTCTCACGCAGTTTGATGTTGTTGTGTGGTTCGGTTTCTGTGTACTTGTTGTACATTCTGACTATTTAGCCTTAATAATAATTTTTAGCATCTTTGTTTTCTGCTTTTGAAAGAATTTGTATTCGAGTATATCAAATGTTAAAAAAAGGCTTTGCATTAAATCTATTATCAATAATTTTTTACGTTACAATTGAAAACAAAATATTTAGGGGTGTTTGTTTCAAGTTTTTTTTTTAGTGGAAAAAATGGGAATAGACATGGATTTTACCTTGTCTGTGTCAAGTTTTTGAAATATGCTGTATGTAAAAGTTTTCCCACCCATCGTTATGGTTCCTTATTATTTTTTTTTTCTATTTTTTCATTATCTTTATTTTTTTTTTCCCCTTAGATTATTCATTTTGTCTTATTATTTTATAATTACTATTTGATTGTTTAGCTATAACATGTGATGATTGAACTAATTATTTATAATTAAAATTTGTATAACTTTTTTAAAATTATTTATTTGAAAACAATTATTAATATTGATAGCTAATGAAACTGCATTTTATTTATATTTATAGTATACTTATTAGGGAATGAAAATTAGATTAAAATAAGGTATATTACTATTTTATTAATAAATTATTATAATGGTATAAGATTTTTAATACGAAACATTTAATTTTAAAAATAAATAAAAATATTTATATAATTTTATTAAAATCATTTATTTAAAAATAATTATTTAGATTTATCACAAAACAAGTTCAAAAACCTAAATTTAGGGCAAGATTAAATTAAAATTTAATTTATTAAAATTATTTTAATAATTTAAAATAATTAACCATAGTTAATTATCTAAAATTAAATAATGTCTTAAATATAAAATTCTAATAACATTTTCCATCCAACACCAATAACAATTATTTGATTTATAAGATTTCTTTTCCAAACCTTCTTTTTTTCATACATTTATGTCTTTTCCCCCCTAAAGTGTACTTGGAAACCTTCCCTTATTCAAGATTGTTTTCTATGATTTCTTTAAGAGAATTTACATTTGCATTTAAAACTCAAAACATGATTCACTGTCTTACTTTTAAGTAAACAGGCCTTAAGCGTTCCGTTGTATTTCACCAATTTGGTTTTGATAATATAAACTTCAACAAATAATAATAATAAATAAAAATGGTTAATAAGTTGTATAGTTAACATCATTTCATAAGTTATTTTATCTGAGTATTGATTTTTTTTTTTTTAAAAAAAACTTCGGTACTTGAAATCTTCATTTGAAGAAGCTTTCATACATAGGACATAATTATAAATTTTGTTTGAAACTAGAGAGTCGTTATTAAGGTTTGAGTGATAACATTTATTTTAACATTTATCTATTTCAAAAGAAGAGTAAGTTTTGCATTTTTGTTTTTTTGTTGAAGAATATTATATTTAGAGAATAAGAGGAAAATATGGATTCATGGATCTAAAATGAGAAGGAAAACTGTGAAAATCTGTGTATGAAGTTCAATTGAGTCCTACAACACAAAATCTTAGCTAAGCACTGCACACATGTTTTGCTTAATTCATTTGGTCTCATTGCAACTCGTACTCTATTGATTCAGAATCCTTTGGTTAACTCTTAGCTAAGCACTGCACACAGTGTCTTCAATCATTTGGTCAACTCTTTGCATGCCATTGGTCACTCATCACTCTTTGAATCCTTGTGAATCATCATCTCTCCCAGTGGAAAAGAGCGTTGATCTCATCACCCTTGGCGATGAGCTCTTCTTCATTACTAGACCATGCCTAGTAAGGTAGGATTTAGCAGTCTATCATGATTTGAATCTATTTACTCTTTTGAATCATTTACTTGGACCATTAGGCCAACTCTTAGTTGATTTTGATGCTCATAAAGAAACATAGAAATGGGAAAGACATCTCAAACGTAAGGTTTATATTTTTCTTGAGCATCCTTGAAAGCTTAAATCTTGATTTCACTCAACTGCGAGTTGACTACACTAGCTACCCTCTACCCATCTCACATTCGCAAGATATTAAATCGTCTGTTCATGATAAATGGTGGGTCCCTCCTTAGGATGTTGTCCAGGGGAATTATCCTTGCAACCTGGTTCGCTCACAAAAAACAGATATTTGCAAGGTAGGAAAAGAGGAGAGAAGCTGTAGGGTCAGTTGGAAAATGGGGGGAAAAACGCATAGATGTTGTCTAATGACCTGTCAAACCCACTTTCCACAAATAATTCTAACTCCATATGCCATAACTAAATTAAAAAATGGTTTCATGTTTTTCTTTTTAAACTTATTTGTTCTTTCTTTTCTTTACCCTTTTTTTTTTGTATTAATTATCTAAAAATTAATTCTTAGAAAGGAATATTAATTTCTTCTAATAAACATTAGAATTAGGTCTTTTTTGATGAAACACTAAGTTCATCACTTCTATCAAACATTATAAAATTTTTATGCTAAAAAAGGGAGACTTTTGTTTCGAACATTAAAGGATTTGGAATAATTTCTGTTTGAAACAACCAAAGACAATAATTAGTTATAAGTTTAGTTATTAATATTCTAAGTCTAGTGTAGATATTTGTCCAGATAACTTGTGAAGTCACAAGAAAAGAAAAGTAAAATAAAAACAGGAATATTTTAATATACTTGGAAAATAAAATTTAAAATAAATATTATATTAATAATAAGATATCATCGTAAAAATATTAAAATAGAAACACGCCTAAAAGTAAATTGAAATATTAAAGAAAGTATCATAACTAAGAGTATTTAAACCAAATGTAATGGTACCAACAACTTTAAATCTTTATTATTTTAATTGTTTGATATAACAACAAACGCAGCGTACATTAAAATATTTCGAACAGTAACCCTTAAATTATATCCCATATTTGCTTTACCACTCTACTGTGTTTGAAGCTGACACATAAGATACACTTCTTAAATCAGTTCTCCAAAAATCAACTTCGGACATTTTCATGGAATTCTTCTAATTCCTTTTTACTTTTATTGAAATTTTAACTGTCAAGGTTCTCTTTTTCTTTTTTAACAAATAAAACATTTACGTCATCTTGTCGGATGTCTATGGATTCAACATCGAGAGGAATAATGAAAAGATAACTCTTAAGATCATAAAACATTAAGAAATGACAAAATAATTTTAATCTAACGTGCATACAGTATATAACCAATATTCTAATATTTTAAGTAATACTTTTGTAGCGTCTATTTTAATGTCTCCTAATAGCGACCGAATGGAATGGCTGATCGGGAGATAAGTAAGATATTTAATAACTAGAAGATGATAGATTCGGTGATATGTCAGGGAGAATAAAAGCTAATGAAGAAATGGAAAATATGTCAAAGAAAAAAGAGCTAGAAACGAGAATTTATTAAAGAGGTAAATTAGGAGGGAAATTGTAGTGAAAAAGTAAGAAAAATATATATTAGAGGAAAAACTTGAAGAGAGCGTTTGGAGCAAATCGAGAGTCTATTTATGAAAATAGTTCTAGAAAAAAAGAAAATAAATATATATATGAATAAAATAGAGATAGGTGCGTTCACAAAATGAGGAAGAACATGTAAAAAGAGTATTATGAAATCTTGTTTTAAAAATTAATCTATAATTTTCGAACCACTTTCAGATTGTAACAAGTGATTATTAAACAATATCATTCGGAAAGAAGAAAAAAAACAACTATAAACCAACGAGAAGAAAAAACGTAGTAGTTCTAGGTTGACACTTGAGTTCTAGGGGCTGATAATGAAAATAAGAAATAAAATTCATCATCAAGTGCATAATTAGACCATATTTATTAAATTTGTTATTCTCTAGATATTCATGAAAGAGAATTATGTAAATTTGAAAACATACTCTACAAATATTTCAATTGAAATAAAATGTACTTTCGATTTTTCGATTAAGAAATTAGAGACTAGAATCCTCATTGTTATAAATAAACTAGAGATTACACTACTATTCACAAATATATAATTATTAACTTCAATTTTATTTGCTAAAGAGCGCATACGGATGGATGATCAAAAATTTGAATTCTCCTCTAAAATGTTGTCAAATTCATACTAAATAAATATTAAAATTAACTAACGAAGTGGTTTTATGACATTAATCTCCACGTATTCATGGAGAAAATGCTACGTAGTTCAATGTTTAAATTTACGAATAGGACACGGGAGCCTAAGATCTTGATGATTAAACAAGAGTACCAACTACAAATGCATGTATTCTTAAAAAGAAAACACAATAACGATAATTAAAAGAAACTTAAATCATTATAGTATGGAATTTAATATTATTAAAGTCTACTTAGAATGATAAGGTTAATCTACTAACCCCCTGCCAAATAAATTTATGAAAGTTCGATTGATGCTCGGCAAAAAAAATAATTAAATATCTATATATATATATATATATATATATACAAAGCATAATCTTAGAAGACATGAATAATCTTAGTTGTAAGTCACGCATGAGAGAGTTATAACCCTTTAGACCACATGCAGAAGCATAATTCAATTTTGTGGGTGGTTGTAGTGGTGGATGCTCTTAAAAGACAATGTTTGAAGATCTAGATCATATCCTTCGGGGTCTCACTCAGATTGATAGCTTTTCTAGCATTGAACCATCTTTCTGCGTCATTTGGCATTTGTTTGGCTTGTAACGGATTTTTTTTTTTTAATGATAGAGCTTTTGTATTGGGATAAGAGACAATATCTTCGGTGTGCAGCTTGTTTTGCCCTTTTATTGGACATTTGGCCTGAAAAAACCTTTTGAGGCGTTGGTAGGTCCTAGGAAAAAAATTCGGTTTTCCATCATGTTTAATGCATCTCTTTTGATTTCTGTTTCAATAAATTGTTGTAAATATTGTAAGGTGGATCGTAACCATTTTCGATAGGCATTTAGTTTAGGTTTTGTTTTGACTTGTTTGGTGGCTCTTTTGCCAAATTGCTGACAAATCATATTCCTAGATTGTAAATATATTTTGGATTTGCCATCTCTGTCTGGCTATGTATAATGGTAATTGTTGTAGACGTTTAACGGACAGTTAGAGAGGTTTAGTTTGTTTTAGAGAAGATTTCCCAAAGACTGGGCTGTTTCGGCCGTAAGAGCTTGCTTCTGCATTCCCCAAAACTATATCTCTTATCCGGTCTTGATATCTTTGTCTATTATGTCTGAAGAAACCTTAACACATCTTAAGAATCTTTATATTATTTCCAATTTCTTTGACATCCTAAGCATCGAGCTTTGGAGGAGACCTTTTTTTATACTAGAAAGAAATGAGGCTCAATGCATCATCAGGACCATTTTCTGGGCATTGTAGACAGAAGGAAATAGAAGACTTTCTTCTAATATAAGAGAGAGGGGTTGGGGTGGGTCATTTGGAAAAACTGAATTTTTGATTCCTCTAGTAACATATTACGTAGTTTTTTCACAAATAATGTAGGCTTGAAGTGATTTGTGCCAATTGAGGCAACTCCTTTAGCTGTTGCCTTATAGTTCCATCTCGTTGTTAGATATTTCCCTAGTTTAATCTTGTAATCATAGTTTTCTACGAGCTACCCTACAGCTTTAATCTCTGTCATGTTTTCCAGTTTGATGAAATTTTCCATTTCTGTAACTAGCAAGATGATGGTAAAGCAAGGAGTGGAAAAGAACGCATCATGAGAATTCACATAAAGTTTTACGTTACATTTTATGGTTTAAATCTTACAGTTAATCCATTGGAAATCCAGAAGTTCTGTACACATACCTGACCGATAGGTGCAAGGAGCCCTTTGCTTTGATCAACGTTGACACTCCATGAATGTAGATGCCAAATTTGCTTCATTGCCTCTACAAATAAAATGAAAACCACTAGAGGAGATATTAAAAATATATTGAATTACTAAGGGTATAACTGTTGGATAGGTTAAATGGAAGTCAATGGAGATAAAATGTTATTTACCTAGATTTCGAGATAAATGTTATTTACCCGAGTGAGATTAAATGCTTAGATTTATGTTGAAATCTAGGTTTGACCTAGTAAATAACCATGTATCCATCGCTAGATTTCAACATAATGCATCTCACTTAATTATTGGACATGCTAACCCTCTTTTGACCTAGTCAATCTCAACCTACGTTTCATCCCAATACCATAGACTGCACTGTCGAAACACTATACCTGCCATGTATAGCCATACAAAAAAGATTGGTGGGCAGTAGAATATTCAAGGAGGCACATTGGGAATTAGGTTTCATTATAGGTTAGTTTCATTGAAGGCTGAACCATTACAAATCTTCGTTTAAACTCTCTAACCCTCCTTTTGAATTTTATTGCTTTAATATTGTTCATGTTAATTAGAATTTGCATATTGTTAAATTATAAATTCTATTGGTGACCATGAATTGTTTTGAGCATAGTTCTCAATATTATCTCATTGGATCTGTATAATAGGTGAACTTAAAATATCTTTGTTTGAACTTTAGTAATTCTAGGAGAAAATGATTGCTCGATCTAATTTTGAATTTTTCTCAAGTAAAAAGGAAGGTTCGATTGTTAGGCAACCCTTTTTGCCACCCATCTAATGTTGTCATATGGCTACAAATTTCATTCTACCTATCTGCAAATTTGAAGTTCCACTATAGAACCGAGAAGAATCTTGAAAATGTTAAGAGCCTACCACATGAGAATAAAAGTCTAGGTTTAACCGGGAAAACTAAATTGAAAGGAAATCATGGAGTAAATAGGATCATCTTATTGATGTATGCTCACAAGGTAGATAAATTTTCCAACTTTTGCTGTTTTCCCAATAAATTTTCATTTCTTGCCCATATAATTATGATTATAACTCAGATTATTGACTCTTACCAGCATGAAAACACTAATAGAACGATATAACAAGACAAAAGAGGAGCACCATCAGCTTGGTTTCTCGACTTCAGAAGTCAAGGTATTCTTTAGTATCTAAGACTTGATTATTTTTCCTTCCGACTGCCAGACATGTTAGGCAAAAGATCATGTATGATTGTTAAAATGCAAACATCTAGATTTCCTATCTGTCAATTTTCTGGATACGATGATTAATAAGAACTATACATCATAGTTATGGCTGGTACGATTATGTTGTGGAATGAGGGGGTGGGGAGGAGCGGGAGAAATATGGGACAATGCAGTTAAGGTATAACAGCAGTTTGATTTGGATAGGAAGAACTGCCGAAGTGAATTACTAGCAAGAACATGGTTAGATTTATGTTGAAATCTAGGCTTGACTCATCTAGGATCATAGGAATTTGGACGTAATAGTACTCATCAAAACTACTGTCAAGGAAATATGTTTGTATTTCGTTGGAGACAGATTCAAAATTATAAATGCATATTTTGCTTAAAAGAGATTCCACGAACCTTCTATTTATCTGACACATGCTGAAAGAACGATTCAAAACAACAATCATGAGACCATGAATCTTGGATCCTTGAGTAATCTCCACCTGGACAAAATCAAACAGATGATTCAACATCAAAATCCAGAAAAATAAAAGGGTGCAGAACGCATAAAAATGGCATCACGACAAATCTCAAAGGCTTTTTCATGAAATGGCAAACCTGAAAAGTTAAGGTGTCATTCTATATTAACAAAAAGTATTAGATATTTCTACAAAATAAATATACAAACTAATAAATCATAATAATAAAAAATACAATTCTCTACTTTGGCCAAAAATGATAATTTTGCCAATTCACATCTAAGTATCTCTTATGTTATTAAAAAATTTAAAATAAAACTGACCAAGAAATTTTGCTCAAGTATGAATCCCGATCCTCATTAATGGGATTCTTTAGCTCTTCAGTCTCCCCAAAGATGGACATGGATGTAGGCCAGGATGTTGAGAGAACAGGGGTTGAAGGCAAGGATTGTGAGAGGAGATGGGATGCAGACATGAATAGAAATCCCTTGCCCATCCCCAGTCTAACATAACATTTACATCAGACTTAAGATACTAAATACCTTCATTTCCAGAAATGTTTTTTGGTATACTCTATGCTAGCTTAATACAGATACTTAATACCTTCATTTTCAGAAATACTTTTTGGTATACACTATGCTAGCTTAATAATTTTTGTGCATGAATATAGAAGGCATACTCTTATACATATAAATAGTAAGGAAATTATATTCTGATTTTTAATCATTAGTACTGGCAAAAGGAAGCAGCAATGTTACGGCAACAACTGCAGAGCTTACAAGAAAATCATCGGTACTATCATACCCTATTCTATTCTATTTCATTACATTTTACTTGATAAATACTGATACTAGAGGAAAGTGCAAAGGAATGAAAGCAACTATGAAATTTCCTTCGACTCCTTATATAGGCCATTTGCGAGCCTCCAATCTACTTCATGCACTCATAACCATGGACACTTATTTCAGATATGGGAATAGCATTTATTGACGACCAAGCATGATCCAAACATAAATTTCCTAATATATTTCCTACATGTTGCTCAAGTTAAAACTACTATACAAGTTAAACACTAATTCGTTCCAATAAAACACTAATAGATATAATTACAGGCAGATGATGGGTGAAGAGCTGACTGGTCTGAGCATCAAAGATCTGCAGAATCTAGAAAACCAACTGGAGATAAGTCTTCGTGGTGTCCGTATGAAGAAGGTATCTAATTGTATCATTTATTAAATGTGTTGGGTGTCTAACAGACAGTTTCCTTTCTTGAGCAGGATCAAATCTTAATGGATGAGATACAAGAACTAAACAGAAAGGTTAAGCAACTACAGTTCTGAAATTTCCATTCTCAATAATTTTGGTTACTAAATTTCCTCCTCTTTGTTATAGGGAAACCTAATTCACCAAGGCAATATGGAACTTTATAAGAAGGTAAACCTAATTCGTCAAGAAAACCTGGAATTATACCAAAAGGTAAACGATGCAGATAATTGAAGCAAACTTTAATTATTTTAAAAAATAAACTAAAGGTGGATCTTCAGGAACATTTGATGAAAAAAAAGACTAAAGGTTCTAATCGTTTAACCAATAAAACTTTGTGTTGCTTAGTCACCATCAAAAGAAAATTTTCACCATCCTAGGTCTATGGAACAAAGGATGCCAATGGAGCAAGCAGTCTAACAAACGGCCTGGGTGTGGGAGAGGATGCAGGTATACCTATCAGCCTTCAACTCAGCCAACCACAACAACAAAACCGTGAGGCACCAGAAAGAGCAACAAAACTGGGGTACAGTTGTGAAAAAATGCATTAATTTTCAGTAATGAATACAAATGAGCTTTTCCAAAGTCCCTATTCCAATCTTGTTGTTTTGATGGTTGCAGCAGACTACAACTACACTAGCAAAAAGAGACCTTACACCAACCACGAAGATGTTAATCATTTTGCATCAAGAAAACGGTGTGAGGTTGCAAATTATCTTTCAATCAACGAATTGTGGTGGAGTAACGGAATATTCCATAACCAATGAAACCAGCTTTGTCTCGTTTGTGGTGATTAATACAAGGGAATTTATGTGAAGAGAAGGCTATGTGCAACAAAAAATAATTGAAATTGCATCAGCATACACACTTCATTTTCCAGAAATCTTAAGGTTTGCCACCTTCATAATAATCAGCTAGGTTCAAAAGTTCGTGCTTGTTATAGGACTGATGTTGGATATTTTATAAAGAAGGAAACAAGTTGATTAAAAAGAACATGATTACCCAAATTTCGCCCAACACTTGTATATGTTGAATATGATGTACCCAAAAACCCCAACTATCCCTGCCAGTCATCATCGCTTGCCACCCCCACCAGTCATCGTACCTTTGTCATTCACCATTCACCCATCGTTCTTTTTTCTTTCCCCTTCCCCTCGCTTTAGCAGCTCTTGGGCCCACGACCCTTATCCCTTCGTCGGTCATTTGTCACTATTTTCCTCATTTTTTGCCAGTTTGTAATCATAGTTTCATAAGTTATCAATACGTTGGTGGCTCTTCTATCTTGGGTTTGCTTCATAAATTAGCCAGTTTGCTTGCAACAGATCGTATAGTTGCTGTATTGATAGGAGTTATTATTGCATTTGGTTCAAAAATGGAATTTTTGAGAAAGCCATGGAATTTAAGCCAGTCATTCATTTCTCATTCATTCTCTCACCAATATTGGTTTGAGAAAGCCATGGTTGAAATGCTGGTCCGCCCCAAGACTCGGATTTTATCCGAACACAATAGAGATGAGTTTGGTACTACCAAAATTCAGAAATGTTGGTTTTCTTCAGGAGCAATTATTTATTGTATCATATGGCCAATATCAAGTAGAAGGAAGGTGATTAGCATTCCTTGTGGTTTCCTAAAGCGTGGTGGCTTTTTTTTTTTTTTTTTTTTATGATATGGACATTGTGAATTCATTCAACCCTTCTTTCTCCTCCCTCGGTTGCAGATTTGTTTTGTCCAAAGCCCTCCGTCTCCAAGTCCTCTTTTCGAGTAAGGAAAGATAAAGAAGTTTTTCATTTAAAGTGGAATTCTTTGCTGGTGGTTTCTCGATTGAATGTGCATGATGATTGGAAAGATATCCAGAAGGCCATTGAAGTTCACTTCAAAACCCTTTTTTTTTATTTTTTTTTATTTTATTATTATTAATCCTTTTATGGATGATAAAGTTATACTTCAATGGAAGACAATTTTTTTAGGTGATCTTGGTCCATTGGGTCATTGGTGGCTGTTCTTTTTGGTTCTCAAATGTTGTCTTTGGTTCGGTTTTCAAAGTACGATTTTTTGTGTTGAGTTTGGTTCTTCAGACTCTCTCTTTGCTAGTTTTTTTTTTTTTTTTCAGCTCGCTTGGTGTTTTTCCTTGCAGAAGTTTTTTTTCCCTATATCTTGTTCTTTTTTTATTCTATGTAGTGGTTTCTTTGTATTCCTTCGTGTTTTATTTTGAACTTCCTTGTGGAGTTTGTATCCTTGAGCATTAGTCTATTTTCATTTATTCAGTAAAAAGTTACACAATTGTATATGATGTTCATCATGGAAGGACGTATAGTATTTACCTCATATCTCCCCTGCTCGCTACAGTAAACTAATCCAGCAGTTTGCTGTAGCAAGATAATTTGCAAAACATTAGTGTAAGCCACAATTTGGCAAAGAAATTAAACAAAAAAAACACGATAGAAAAAAACCATCTCTACTAAACAGGGTCATTATAAATCCAAGACAATAGTTTAATCAGTGGATCACTTCAAATAATTATATTTCCAACTGCATAAATTCAATTTTTTTTAGAAAGGAACATCACTTCGTCAATTAATGAAACAAACAAGAACTTCCTCAAATGGATGTCTGGCAGAAAATGATAGAGAAAGAATCATGAATGGTTCAAAAGCATATTGCATTGCACATCATAAAAACAATCACAATTCAAAGTACATTTTGAGAAAACAATCCTAATATTAACTTATAAAGTAAACAAGAACACCAAGAGAATTGAAAACAATCTAGCTACTAACTTGTATGTATTTCCCAGCTTGCTTAGAGCCCCCAACCATGAATTTGTGAAGCTCGAAGGTTCAGAAACAGATCTAGAACATTTGTGTTTCAAAATTGAAGTTATAGTGGACATACCAAGTTAACGTTGCAAACCTCAGATACTACTACAGCAAAGGATGAAAAAAAATCAAAAGCACTAATTCAATTTTTTAAATGATAATCAAACTTTCACTTGGGTCCCTTTTCAACTCCCCTAAAGGTTCTATTGTTCCTCTCTCTAAAGACCCCACAGCAAAGGATGAAAAAAAAAATCAAAAGCACTAATTCAATTTTTTAAATGAAAACCAAGCTTTCACTTGGGTCCCTTTTCAACTCCCCTAAAGGTTCTATTGTTCCTCTCTCTAAAGACCCCACAAAATTGCATAAACATCGGCCAGAATAAAAGGCCACACGAGAGCCTTAATTCAAAATTATTCTAATTCATCTCCCCTCAACTCTTCATCCATTGCAATATAAAGGATTAGTCAATCAAATAATCTGTAGTAAATGGGTCTGTTTGAAAATAAATGAATGGCTCAGTGAAGAAGTCCTCGTCAAATACAAAATCATTTTTGAAAATATCATATATAACCCAAATTCAATTTAAGAAACAAAGAAAGTCTAACTTTTGACCATACTTGCATGACATACAGGGTGTTAACAAATAAAATTCATGTTCAAAATTAACACTAATCGAAAATAATGTTCACAATGCTACATATCATAATAACTACTAGGAAATTAAGTGCATAATGTCATATTCAGAACAATTATTCTTACTAGTGCACATTAAGTAGATAGATCTAACATGCACAACCCCAAAAATAGAATGGGCTTTGGAAAGATCTACTTATTTTTATTTATATTTGTGAGTAGTAATATATAGCAAATGGGTCAGTCTGAAAATAAACGAATGGCTCATTGAAGAATATTATTCTTGTCAAACATAAAATCATTTTTTAAAATATCATATACAGCCTAAATCCAATTTAAGAAACAAAAAAAAAAATCTAACTTTTGATCATACTTGCATGACATACAGGGTACTAACAAATAAAATTCATGTTCAAAATTAATACTACCAAAAAATAATGTTCACAATGCTATATTCATAATAACTACTTGAAAATTATGTGCACAATGTAATATTCACAACAATTATCCTTACTATGTGCACATTAAGTAGATAGTAACAACAACTATTCTCATAATGCTATATTCATAATGACTACTTGGAAATTTTGTGCACAATGTCGTGCACAACATCATATTCACAACAATTATTCTTACTATGTGCACATTAAGTAGATATATCTAACATGCACAATGACTGAAATAGAATGAGCTTTGGAAAAATCTATTTATTTTTATTTATATTCGTGAGTGTTGGACAAGCTTGAGCGCACCTCAAATAGTCTCATGAGACAACAACCTCACCCTATTGTGTCTGGTTGCCAGAAAACTCATAGAATATTAAATCCTAGGTGGATGGCCAGATTGAACTCATGCCCTCAGAGATTCATTATTCTCATCACCCTTATTGAACGCTAGGCCGACCCAAAGTGTGCGGTGCTAGACACTAACAAAGTATATTCAACTCAAACCTTCAGCAAATTGGAACTGTTATTTTAATGGTCTCACATTCTTACCTTCCTATTCTACATCAGAAGGAACAATTTACACTGAAACAACTGTTATAATCTATTTTGAACAATCTAAGAAGGTAAAATATAAAAATGGATACACAAGTTTCAAATGTGATCACTTCATATCCAAGTGATCTTTCTTTAAAGGTAAAAGAAATTTTATGTGCAACAGAATAGATCGATGGATGACAAAAGGGTCAAATCCTCAAAAAGTGAAAATATTGGGAAAAAAAAATGATGAATAAATGCACATTTCAAAAGAATACATGATCTAGTGGTTCTATGTGGCCATACTAAATCATGAACATAGTGAACCAAAATCACCGATTACCAGCAGACCCTATATCCCTATATAATCTTCTAAATAAAAGTTTCCAAAAAAATTCTATGAAGGAAGCGTAAAATGTTGAACCCTTTCAACGATATCAATTACAGGATTGAGATTATCACTAAGGAATGTCTAAAACAAAGCCACAACTTATTTTATCAAAGTCCTTGAGATTATTAACTAAGAACTATATTCCTGAAATTTTAAATTGCTGAGTTCTCACCATTGCGACTTTTCATGGCCCTAAAAAGAAACTATCGTTATGGTCCCTCATGCACCAGACCCTTAAAAATTTCATCAATATGGTCCCCCATGACTTATTCTGGACACAAAAATCAAATTGTTAGTCATTCTTAAGTTTCTACTACCTGGTGGGTAAATGGTACAACTTGGCAAGAATGTCAATAAAATTCATAATCTACCCATCTTCGCAACTTTTTGGTATGTACAAACTTCCAAATAAGGATGGACTCAAACGTCGTGTTGAACTTTGTCACGCAAATGAGACTGCAAGGGATTGTTTTTTCAAGTCAAGGAAAATCGTGGTTATTTTGTTCATGGCAGGGTTTATCAGTCGAACAATTCTACCAGCCTCTAAAAGAAGTTTGTTGTATCTATTTCTGAAGACATAAGGTTACTCCAGTGCAGTAAACCTACCAGATGAATTCATTAACATCACTGTGGATGATAACTAAACAAACAACCAGTTGAAAGCCCAAATACTCTGAAATTCAACCTGCTAGCAGTTTTCATGATAAAGAAGACCTGCTCGCATACCAAAACAAAAGTTAAAGAGTGCTAACTAATTACAAGACTTACAGTACCCTACATCACAAATACCTCGAAGATGATCTTGTCAGAAAGAACACTTAGGATCTTGTTTAACTAATCCTACTAAAATAATGCTTTTAAGGAATGCAAAAAATTTAGCATTCAATAGAGCACGAGTCTTAACTCATTATCAATTAATAAAATATTGTTCACAATTAATAGCTTATAAACAAGTCAATGCGATTTTGTTTCAACAAACAATAGCAGAAGTACGTTATTCAATAACCTTACTGACTAAACATGAACTAGTCTCAAAGCTCTAGAGTTTCAAGGTATGTGATTAATCACCAATATCATCCCTATATTTATTTCAAGATAACAAACAAAACAATCCTTTCTTTAGAAACCAAACCAGAATCACCAACAAACAGAAAAAAGGTACAAGAAAAGGGGGAGGGAGGCCATATGAAAATCGTAATGATGTGGTTAACATCCAACAACTAGTGAATAAGTAACTTAAATCATCTGCCTAGGTTCACGTTTAAATGAGTTACGGATGCGCAAATATATAAACA